AGTGAGGCAATGGTGAACGTCCCCCTGTCCCGTCCCCCCCAGCTCTGTCTGTGCCCCCAGCCCTCCCACCCCGACTCCCCTTGCAGGAACAAACATCCCGCAGGCAGAAAAACAGCCTGGGGAAGGGGGGGACCCAGAGAGCGGGAGGGGATTTTATTTGCTGATGGCAGGTTTTTTTCCCTAGCTTTAACACAGACCCACTTATCAGCATATCGCTCCCTCAAGCAAATACATTGCAGTCCAATATAACACTTCACCCTGATTAAAAATTCCTGGGACGGGGACCCCGGCGGTGCTGAGGGCGGTATGTTAATGTGCAGCTGATAGATCAGAAGGTTGGGGGGTTTATTTTCTCTTTTTGCCTTTTTTTTTTTTTTTCCAGCTGAATGAAACTTCAAGCTCTTTCTTCTGCTAATGGGATTTTCAGAGGCACACAAAGTGCTGATGGCTACGGCTTTGTACCGACCCTCCTTTGAGCTGAGAGGCTGACAAAGGGAAACTCTTCAATTAGCAAAAGCAGAAGGTGCTTTATTGAATGCCACTCGCTGCTGCTGTGCGGGCAGTGAAGGGGCAAAGGGGTTTTGGGAAGCACCAGAGACCGTGCTGGTCCTCAGCCAGCAGCTAAGGCGAGGAGGAGGAGGCACATGCTCGGGATGAGGGTCCCTCCCCCTGCCTCTCGCCCCGGTGCTGAGCTGAGCCCACAGTCCACGTTGCATGAGATAAATACTTGCGGGGAGCGGAGCTGGCCCTGGGGGTCCTGCCCCCTCCTCGCACTGAGCAGGTGGGGAGCGCAGGGCTGATGTTTAAAACCAAGGAATAATGGGGTTCCCATGCACACAGCAGGTAATCATCCCATATGCTCCATCCCATGGGTGTTAGAGAAAGAGTTCCTGCTTTTCAGGGTCACCTGCTCACCTCAGCTTATTCTTGAAAATCCACATTTTTACCATCAACTTGGTCAAGACAGACAGCCAAAGTTTTCACTGATTCTTTTCAATTAGAAAAATATATTTCTGCCACACAGAAATACCCGGTAAGACTTGACTCTTAAAATTCACCAAAAAAAAGGAAAATATCCATCAGTTGCTCACTTGTTACAAACAGGAGCCTTTGCACAGAGCAAGAGCCCTCAGCCCCCCCCTCCCATAAGCGATCCCCGTGCTACCTGCCCGTGCTCAGCAGAGCCTGACCTTTTGTAATTAAGAGGCAAGAGCCCCAGATTCAATTAGCCAGTACTACCCAGCTTAATATAATCAAAAAGAAAGATATTGCATTATGCTTGCTATGATTTGGTTGCAGAAGTTTCGATCAAATTCACCAGCAAGTGAATTAAATGGGAAGCTGTTGCTCGAGGGCAGCGGCAAGCAAGAGGACGGCGCGAGCAAATCTCGGTCACTCCGCAGCACGG